CGGGTCGGGGATCCGGACAATCGTCCCCGGGGGCCTCGTCTCGTCGCCGGCCAGGCGACGCGATCGCCCGGAGAGACGATCGCGCGAAGCGATCTCTCGCCAGCGGCCAAAGTGTTTCCCCCGTACGCGGAGGGGGGAACCCAGATTCGCGGAAAGGATAGAGTTACGAGCGCGACGCCACGAACGGACACCATCCCGCGGCCTCGTCCTTCCCTCCCGGTAACGCTATCGTCGACGTTAGGGTATGCACGATAACGCTACTCACCTAACTCCGCGTACGCCCACGCCGCAGCATCACCATTTCGACGATTTTCATCGCGTTCGGCCGCGCGAGTATTGTTGTTCTCCTGCGCTTTTTTGAAACCGCTCGAAGCGATCACTAATGCTATCTGTCGACGATCGGGCGAAGACTGCGGCGAAGAGTGAAAACTCGAAAGAGAGAGAGAGAGCCAGTGGGTGCTCTCGGCGAAGGGGTTGGGGGGCTCTTGACACGCCAAAATGTCCCTAGGCGAGTTGCGAATTTAATTATTGGCGCCAAATATCGCAAATTTTAAATAATTCTTAGATACTGTTTATTATTATTACTACCATTGAGGATTATTTCATTTCTTATTACGTACTCTTGTTATTATTCTAAAATTATTTGATTTTTTTCTTGTAAAAACGGTTAGTCTTTGATAAATCTTTTTTAAGACTTTATCAATCGAGATAAAAAGACAAATGTTTCTTTAGAGCATATAAATAAATAAAACGGTATTTTCTTCGACAATGTGTTGAATTAACAGGCACATAATTTTTCTAACATTTATTCTCATATATAAATTGTTTTCTAATTATATTTCTTTCGTATATTTTCGCATTTCTGAATTTCCTATTGTCTCCATATATTACATGTAAATTTAATAAATTAAACTTCTCAGATATGATTTAGGATTATTTTTAAACTTTACCCTACTTTCTCGCAGATTGTAAACAAAAATAAAATGAATTTTGTTGAGATTTATATATTATAACAAAGTAAGTTTAAAACTTAATTGCATGCATATTTGAATTGATGTATATATTTGTGCTATTAATTAATAATACATTAATTCCGTTTTTACACACACATGTTAATTTTTTCTCAAATTAACAATATTAGTAAATAATACAGCATTTTTTTACACATTGTCATACCATTATAATACCTCGCCGGAATCATTATAAAGTTTTTTAATTCTTCCAATAATACTTAAATTCACCACCGAAGGTGAAAACATAAACGCTACTTCAATAGTTTTTGGTATTACGGTCATATTTTTCCAAGAAAAATTATTAGAGTATTCTTCATACATGTGTGTGTAAAATAATACATATAAATAGGAGAATAGGAATTAATTTCAAAGAAAACAGCTGTTTTATAAAAACTTTAGATTAAAGGAATTCAATTGTTCTGTTTAATAATATCGGGTTGATTTTGGGATACAAGTCTCCACCATTTCCGTTCGCACGACGCGAAACGCGGGATGATTTTGTAAAGAACATAAAATTGTTTATTGAATATCAAGTTTTACAAATATTATCACACACTTGTTATGAATGTTTCATCTCGCGGGGCGGGCTTTCTTATATCGTATATCGTACAAATATAAGAATTATATTCAATTGTAATATATATATAATATATAAATGGCTATATATATATAATATATATAAATACTTGATCATCTCTTATATAAAGTGGCGGTGTTGTTTCATTTATATTTATGTACATCGATAAGCCGGTCGTTCCCTCATCGCGATTATACCGAGTCAAATTTTACGTTTGAACGCTAATCTAGAATAATCTAGATAATCGATTTACCTAACTAATTAAATGCAGATGCGGATGATCGATTCGTTGATGAGTAATGAGAATCGGAGGTGTATTTCACGCGACGCGACGGTCGGATGCAAGCCAGCCTCTAATGTCTCGCGTAATTCGTCTGTATCCGGAAAAATCGGCGCGCGCGCACATACGTAAAAAAAAAGAATCAATAAATAATATTAATCTTATATAGATAAATATATATACGCTATCTAACGTAGCTATACGCTAATTATACTTTTGTGGTAAAATATTCTCGCAGGCCTTTCGAGTAGGCTTGTCTTTCGATTAAAAAGTACCTTTGACGCTTTTTCTCGCCTTTCAACAGCGCAATATATATAGATACAACTTTCATATATATATTATATATACTTAATGTACAAGCTGTTCTCTTTATCGGTTCCTCCACTCGCGATTGTAAAAAGCTTGCGCAAAGCTCGACATCGTCAACGTAAAAAAACAACAACGCAGTGCAAAACATTAGGCGTTTCTCTGAGAAAAACGGTAGCGCGCGTTCACTCAACAACGCATTCTCTTTTACAGCTAACTTATACATATTAAAAAAGAAGTAAAAATGTAACGTTTGGCGAAGCCCGGCACGATCGAAACGCTGGCAATCCCCTCGCAATGTTCCCGTCGACTGCGGAAGAACTCTCGCTCGTTCCCCCGCGCTATAATCGCGCGTATCGGGCGGTATTATCTACGTGTTATCGCACCGGCAAGTAATACGCAATACTCCGTACATTACGATACGAAAATTACTCTGCTCGTCACGCTCGGAAAGCTCCGAAAGCCCGGAAACCCCGTCACAAAATTTAGCAGCGCCTAACAAGCCTAGGAGAGTATCACCTCTTACTTTGCGGTCCGCATCCGGAAATCGAGCCACGCGAGTTGCTCAGAATTCGAGTGATATATGTGTTCAAAAAGAGCCGAGAATCGTAGCCAAGAATTGCGGCGCTTCTCTTAATTTAATACAAGTTCGTCTTCGGTATTAATTTTGCCTCGATGAGAAGACGAGCTTGATTTACTATCACTCGAGTCCTTCCCAACTCGCGTCGCGTACAACGTCCTTAATTAACATACAAAATCTTTGTACAACACCTCGAACGCTATGAAAATATAAAAAGTGTCCCGAAAAAGTGGTCGAGTACGATTTGAAATTCTACAAGCATATTGTTACTTCGCAGAAGCAGCGACGATCGTTGTATTTCGGAATACGGACGCGCTTCCGCGCGTCCCGTTAATGTTTCATCGGATGAGAGTCTTTAGCGATTGGAAGGAAAACATACGTGTGTACGTCGATAGATATGCATTAATCAATTGGCAGTAAATGGCTTATATAAAATGTGTCTGGATAGAAATATGGACATATGTATATATATTATCTCGACGATTCTCATACGCCGGATTGAGCATTGCGTTTATAAGTTTATAAAATTTCTCCTAAGAGCCGTTCCTGATCCGAGTAAGTAAAAGTCCACATACAAAAATCCACATACGAAGTATGTATATATATCCCGCTAAAAATATTTGTATACAACTTTTTTTTTCTTCCTCTTTATCGATAATACTTTAACTCGCAAGGGCGACACGGGGGGAGAGAATGAAACTTACTTTACTTAAGCGGACCGTGTTCGTCGAATAACGCAATCTTTTACCGCTCGCAATGAAACGTACGAATTCTTGAAGCACAGCGAGAGACAGATCGGCCGCTAAATTTCGCGGAATCGTTGAAAATCTCCGCGTGCCTTTCGCGACCGATTTTTAAGAGTCGATCATTGTTACGCCAAACAGCCTATCATATAATACCCATAATTATTCGCTTGTAAACGATTAACTCTAAAGTAATATTTTCCAATGAGATCGTAAAATATATATATTAGGCGATCGCTTCAGCAAAGGATACGCGCACGAAATCGTCCTTGAATACGAGCTGCCTGGGATGTCAAGTAGAGCGACTTAACACAAGCACATCTTACAAAGGCCGTCCGAAACGAGTCAACGGAAATCTCACGGTCCACAAAGCGCGAAACCAAGTGTCGCGCTTACAACGAGCAAGTCGTCAGTTTCACGGCGAAACCGGTCTCGCCGGATGTAAAAGCTCACCCCGTTTCTGAACAAATTGATCCTGCGGAAATACGAAATGCGAGCAAGCTTTGCGAAAAGCCCCCGAATGTAAGACGTGCACGATAAAGCTCATCGCGAACCGATAATATATACAAAAATAGAATGAATATCTCTACTCTCCGCCTATATCGTCTTGGACCGTAAATTACTTGACCGAACGGCTCACGCCCTGTCTTTTTCAAGCGTAAATATGGCATCATTAGCGAGTCGACGTAGAATATAATTATACGAATAGCGGTGAGCGACGCATGAGCTTTTTCGCCGGGGCAACAAGGCGATTTTCTTTTTCTCCCTTTTAGGCAAGACCGCTCGGATCAACGCGCATAAAAGCACATATACTCAAGGGGTGTCGTTCAATTTAAACCACCCTAGGTCTTTATGTAAATGACAAAGAAAAAAATATGACGAAAACAGTCGCGACGTTCTTTGCTCGCGCGACTTGACTACAATTATTGTACATTGACTTTCACACATCGTAGAAAAACACGCCGGAAAATCGATCGTGTTAATTAGATAATTTATGTCCCGATCGGTATACGCGTCCAGCACATTTATACGCGATTACATTGTAACGTCTATAACACGAAAGCGGGCTCATCGAGTTTCCTCGAGCGGCCGATTGCGGCACAATACTTGCCTGTTCGCGTTATCAAAAATACGCCGCAAGAACGCGACGCTGTCAGATTATACATTGGCAAGTACAATATTGAGTTTTACACTCAAGACGAGCAACGCTAGTACCGGAGAGAAGAGAAACGTGACGGTATGATTGGGCGAGCCATTGATCGCCGTGTCCCAAAATTAAATCAAACGTCTGGGTCACGCATTAATTGCGCCGTTCATCGACGCTAATTAACTATACAATATTCGTTTTCCATACGTGATCCTGATAGTAATCGTACAAATTTATTGCGGAGAAATTTGGCAAAAATGTGACAATTTAATTTACCTCTCAGGTACTAACATTGAGAATGTAGCGTTGCAGTCTATCCATCAGTTAGGATGGCACAAGGCTTAGGAACCTACTTTAGCATTCAAATTCCGATGCTGTTATGGCATTCAGATCTTTCATAAGACCCTCTAAGTTGGCCATTTCCTGATTCAATTCTTCGGTGCTGTACGAAGGCTGCAACCATAATTAAGCTTGATTAAGACACAATTGCGCAAAGTGGTCGCAAATAAAGTAATATTGTATTACACGAGTCAACACATGTTACACGGACCCAACATACACGGACGTACGTAAAAGACCTGTGATTTACCTTTAACCGTTCAACTTCCTCCGAAGTATGTGCCGGATTTGACACAGAGGCTAAGCGATTCTTCGTTAATTGCGACGACGAACCTTGAGGTTTTTTGTACGGACTCCCGGACATCGTTGGCCTCACTGTCACTTGTGACACTGTAATTACGGAAAATAATAATTGTCAGCGTTCAACAGCTTAATAAAAGAAACACAAAGAAAAAAATAATCATTCTTTGTAGATTTTTAACTTCAGAAATCTTCTAATACAATACATTACAATCGCGCAGAAAGATTCGAGATCATCAGATTGAATTTTCAGCCTTTGTTATAAATTTTCCTTTGTTATAAACTTTGATTATAAATTTCTCAACATTTTGCTAAAACATTTTAAAGACCAACATAGTATTTTATCATAGTTTTTAGTACCAATAAAATTATGTAGAATGATTCTCTCTTTCGTTTTTTGGAGCGAGGTGGGTTGAAAAAAAGATATTTTGGATATTTTACATTAAATTGTGTAATCAATAAACAGTACTAACCACCGTGTTTCTGTTGCGCCGGTGTCGAAGGGGCACTCTGCGGCGGAGGAGCCGGCACGCTGAAGCTCTTAAGAGGATGCCCTTGCAGCCGCTTGCTACCATTGCTCTCCACCCCAACGGCACTGTTCATCGGTTGAGTGCTATTGCCATAATGACCGGGGGTGTATTGAGTGTTACCGCTGTACGATTGCCCGCTCGTACCATAAGATAACTGAGGAAATAAGAAAACAATGCACAATCTCGCTATCACGCCGTCAAACAATTGACGCACGTACTTGAGATCCTACCTGACTCTGTAACGGCTCGTACGAGCTAGGCATGTTACAAGAATCCGGGCTGGACTCCGGGGTCGGTTCCAACGTGACGTGCGCGCGATTTAAGCTATACTGCGCGACCGTTCGCGGATAGTTTTGTCTCACCGACGACGTATCGCTGCACGAGGTGTGGATGGTCGGCTGCGACATGCTGGTATTCACAATCGGCGTAGCCGTAGCTATAGCTGCAACAGGTCAGAAACTTTGACATCCACATTGCAACGGTGATAGCTGATATGAATTATGCGTTTTATCGCTGTGTAAGTTTGCTTTGTTGTAAAATAATACTTTAAATAGTTTGACCGCTTGGAATATAAAAAGGCATGTTACATCATTACGGATATTGTGCAAGATTACGAGTGACAACCCTACTACTACTTACGCTGATGCAAAGGTGCACTGTCAACGGGGAGTGTAATTAATTTAGGTTTGTGGCTTCCACGACTGTGCTGCCTGCTCAGGGTTGAGCACTTCTCGTCAGTGTTACCTAATAGGAAATCAATGAAAAGCAACCAAATAACAAAATCAGGAAAACTGCAAATTAAATGTATGAGATCTCTCTCTTTTTCTCTCTCTTAAGTGCATTGTGCATGGGAAAAATTGAAATAATTGAAATACGCGATTCAAAAGTAAAATTACTAAAATAGTGTGGTAACAAAGAAATTATGTTATCCTTGCTTATGCAAATCAACTAAACGGGACTGCTGTTAGTTTCGCGATGTGGAATGTTTCCTGTGATGTTTGATATTGCAGCAGTGTATTCCCCGACGACTTACCCATATAACTTGGCACGTAAGTACGCTTATCCAGCGAACTGGAATTCCCATGTATATCTTGATTATATTCTGGATTGCTCGACCTAGGTAATGTATTACTGGTGACGCCGCTGGTGGAGGCTTCACCATTTAGCGACGATTTCTCAAGCGCTTTCAGCTCCATTTGATCATGATGAATCCACAAATCCGGCGGCTTGATATTCGTCTTCTGATTCGAATCTTTCATATATCTAAAGGATATAAAAAAATATGAATTATTGACACATTATATCTTATGATTAGAAGTGTTAAGACATGTAATTCGATTACTAAGACATACCCCTTCTTTCGATCTGGCGAGCTTGGATTACGTTTACAACACACTACGACCACTACCGATATGGCAGTGATAAAGACGATCGAGAGACCTACTATGATGTAAATCAACAGATTCGAAAAGCTTCGTCCATCTGGAAAAAGACAATTATATATTTTACTAGATGATTGAAATTATTATCCTATATTTTCTTTTTGAAACACAGAGATTATTTCTTATTTTATATTCAAAGAGATTTAATTATAAGTTTTGTAACAAAACATGCTTAGACGTGCATAATTAGGATGACAGAGGAAAAGGAAGATTGGGACAATGTCTTACCTCCATGCAATTCATCATCCATGCCATTGCCTACCATAGAAATAAAAAATAAACATAATAATTAAAGCAGTGATTTGTGAACGGACAACGGAATGCAACATAAAGCGGATAGAAATAATATATATGCAGATAATGCTACGCAATCATTTATGGTTAAATCAATGCAGGCATTATCCTGTATATATTACAACTGTACGAACATAATCTTTAACATCAATCAACATCGATATGATAAATAAAAATCGAATTATTTACTTTGTGGTGTTTTAAATGAGACTGTCGTAGAGAATGGTCCGTATCCCTTGGAGTTACGAGCTTGGATTTTGAAGTAATACATCGTGTTAGGATGTAGACTCTTTACGATGGCATCCACCTTGTCGCCAATGACACCTTCGACCAACCAATCGCGATCCCATCTCGTGTTGTCAGTTGAATAAATTATGAGATATCCTAGAAATTGATGTGGCTTAGTAAACGTACTTTATTTTTCAAATTTAGGATTACCAACCTGTAATTTGTCCATTGGGTTGCTTAGGAGGTTGCCATCGCAGCAGAACAGAGGTCGGACGATCCTCGACGGTTTGAATGATCAGATCTCGAGGTGCCGTGCTAGGTGCAGCCTCTTGCGTTTGATTTAGAACGACCATACTCCACGGCGAGCTTCGTTTACCCTATGGAAATGATGCTTATAAGATAATAGTCTTCCTTAACTTTATTACGCTGTACACCCACAATCCACATGTCTCGTACCTTGACCAGCTTAACTGTAAACTCATACTGCGTATTGGGTTTCAAGTCGTGAATCATACAGTTGAGATCGGTAGCATTGTAATATTTGTATCTTGGGCTACTGCTGTGATGGTAGAATGTATAACGCACCACATAGTATCGACTATCGGTGATATACTAAAAATAAATGTTCTCGTTACAGATATTTCTGCCTGACCTCTTCCTTACATGCGTCACACATCTTATGAGGTTTTATAATACAGTACGATTTTATATATATATGACGTAAACGTACTTGACTTTTCGATAAGGTCGTGTCTGTCCAATACAGTACAACGGTAGAAGCCGAGAGCACGATAGCTTTAAGGCCAACGGGTGGTATTAAAGGCACTGCGGATTCAGATACAAAACGTTCGGGAGTTCTTACATTCGCGTATGCTGGCTGACCATCGCCAACATTATTCGTTGCTCTTAAAGATATCACGTACTCCGTTGTTGGTTCTAATATCATGACAGAAGAAAGGGATTAATAAAAATTAAATTGCAAAATATTTCGTATCAAAAGTAGAACATTTTGGTGTATTCTTTTTACCTATAGGCTTAATAGCGTAAGATCGTTGCTTTCCATCAAGAACCTGTATCTCAACATCGGGGTAGCCTTTGCCCCAGCCTAACTTATATTTTCTCACTTTAATGCTTTGATCTTTCGGGGGATGCCACGATACTAGTATAGAATCCGCCATGGCATTCGCTGTAATAACAACGCACGAAGATGATTTCAGATTTGTAACGAATTAACAATTAAAATGCCATCCTATATTTTGCACATGGATTCTCACCTCTCAGATTACTGGGCGCATTAGGTACTTTCGTCTCGTCCAAATCGTTCTCGTATGTCTCTATCTTTGTCCATTCCGTCCAAGGCCCAGTTCCATTGACGTTGAAGGCACATATGCGGACTTGGTACACAACGTGCTTCTCGAGCCCATTTAGCACGTACAAACGTTGATTTCCTTCAGTTGTCACCGTGATCGGGGATCGCCGATCCCCGGATCGAGGATCGTGCGGGTATCTGCGGTACCGTATTCTATAACCCGTGATTATCCCATTCTGTCCCTCGAGTGGAGGTTCCCATCTTACGATAATACTCTGGAAAACAGACATTTAGGGAAACTCTTTGAATTATCTGTATCTATCGATTTAAATTATTTATTGTGTATAATCGGATACGCGGTATTACCGTTGAACTAGCTGCTTCTAAGGTAACGTTATGCGGTGGTTGCGTCGGTTGTGCACTGTGAGTCCGAATTACGATATCCTTACTAAACGCGCCCGGGCCATTTTCGTTGACCGCTTGAACTCTAATACTGTATTCCGTATAAGGCACGAGATCTACCAATTCATACGTTGTACTAGTAGTTTCACGCGTTATCTCTTCACCGTCGCCCTGAGAATATGACAAAATTAAACAGTTAGTAACGCTTGACATTGTCAGTTCAACATTAGTAGTTTTCAGAAAAAAGTTTGTATACCTCCATAAATGTAATAATATATTTAGATATTCGTCCATTAATAACTTGTGGTTCCTCCCACGACAAAGTAATACTCATGCTGCTTGTCGCATGACCCTCCAGATTCATCGGAGGCCCAGGAACATTGGCCTCTATTAGCGTTGTAATTTGTAATACTTCACTAGGAGCACTGGTGCCTCGAGAATTTTGCGCGACCACATGGAATTGATACGTCATACTGGGCTGTAAACCGCGTATCATGGCCTCCAGTTTCTGCTGCGTGTTGACAACTCTCTCCCTACGAATAGACGATGATCGGTCATTTCACACTCACACGTCCTCATTTACTTCCATAGGATAATTACCTCATGGCCCCTTCCTGTTTATAATGTATGAAATAATTGAGAGTATCGCTGTTCGCGTTTTCCGGCTCTTGCCAGCGTAGCGTGACGAATCTCGCGGTAACGATGACGAGGCTCAAATTCCTCGGTGGAGAGGGTACGCCACCCCCGTCGAACGCTTCCAGAGTATCTGTGTCATCTACAAAACGGGATTCCGGGTCGTAAAGGGAGTTGGGATACTTAAACGAGCTCGGGAGGAGATCCGCGGGATCGTCAGAGGGACTGATTGAAAGTGGAGGACTCGGCATGTGCGACGAAAACGTGTGTCCTAAGAGAGTACTCGGGTGTTGCCATGTCTTATTATACAACTGCCGGTGTAGCAATAATTTTTTCTTAGGAACTGTCTTGGGAGTTGTTGTTCTATGGGGATTTGCTTTCTCTGCATACGTGACGTTAGCATGCAGAACAGTTAATTAACGAGGAACACGTGAGGGAGAGAAATAAATAAAGACAAAATTAAAATTCCAAATAGAAATAAACGTAAAAAATAAGAATGTAATTTTTAAAAAATATACAAAAGATAAATATATAAACAAAACAAAAAAATTTCGATATTTATCAACCAATAAATATTAAGAAAAGAGAGTGTATGCGTTTAAAAAACAGGTTCTATCTACATTTTATCTCGCAAAACTCACTGGGCTGGTTAATTGTGAGACGTGCTGAGGCTTGAACACTACCGGCAGGATTCATTCCCATGCACTGGAAAATTCCTGCATCTATGGGTAACAGTCCATTGATTCTCAGATTGTATCTGGAAACGGAAGTATTGAAATTTTAAAATAACTTATTGAACACGATTTTGCGAAGAATTTCTTCAGCGAAGTAAGAACATTCTCTAAACACACACCCATTGACAATTTGCCAGTACGCGCTCAACGTGATACGCTCGCCATTTTTCAGCCAGGTAATTTTCGGTTCCGGTTTTCCATAAATCTCGCATTCGAATTCTAGATCTTGACTCTCGCTCGCCACTTTATCCTCCGGCTTCTTTAGAAACCTCGGCGGAACTGAGGGCCAAATCAAATTAAAGCGTCATACTTTAATATCACAGCAGGGTAATAACTAAAGACTTCATGTGCACCAGAAAAAATACCTTGTACGATTAATTCAGCAACTGCATCCAGAGATTCGACCTCGTTTTCCGCGCGGCATTGATACGAACCGTGATCGGATTCTCGGACATTTATGATCATAAGACTAGATGCTGCGATCTTTCGATATCTTGAAAAAGATGTACCTCTCGTAAATACCACATTCAGATTCGTATCTCGTTGGTTAATTAACTCAAAGTTAATTAACATACCTAGAGTCGAGTGACGTCAAATCGAGAGCGACGCCGTCTTTAAGCCAAAGAATCGTCGGTTTCGGATAGCCGTTGGCGGCGCATTCCAGGGTCACGTCAGACCCTTCGGTGGCTATTTGTTGCAAGGGTTGTGCAATGAATACTGGAGCGCTAGATCCCTCATCTGTACGGCCGAATAAAACATCCGTCAATTTGACGTGTTCCATTGACGTGTTTAACACGTTTATTAGTTACAATTAGCGAAAAAACTTACCGATGTCACTAGATAATAATCCTAATTGTGCTTTGTTGCTCAGTCTATATTGGCCGTAGCCGCTAGCGTTACATCTGTACGATCCTACATCGTGATACTGAACATCGTCGATTTCCAACGCGCCTGTGGGAGGATCAGCGAGATAAATTATCAATGACGATAATTAACGTGAAAGAAAATCTTAAATTAAAAACCGTAGACGTCCATCGTACCTGACGGCAAAATTGTCATTCGACTTTTATCGAGCACTAAAGGATGTTCGTCCTTTAACCATTGTATCTTTAACAAACTCGAGGAAGCGGGTAGCGCACAACTCAAATATGCAATCTGTCCCGCGTAAACCATGGTGTCCTGAGGTTCTCTTTCGAAGCCGGGAAGGCCTTCAAAGAAAGTCAATATTACATTTATCGTATAAGTGCTACCGGAAGTAAGCGATCACTTTTCAGAGCAAAGAGGATTATCTTATCCCTTATCTTCTGTCTAAATTTAATCATTTAAAATATATTATAGTTCAAGGAATTCCAAGATTAACTTATATCCGATATTTACCATATTCGCGAGATTTTTGGAGATACGCGCTATTAAATATTAGCTTTTATATAATACCAAGTAACAAAATTGTAGTAATATTTAGTTAATAATATATAACATCAACTTTATTAAACTTTTTACATTTTTCAATTTGTGTAGTTTTTAAAAACTCGTAGTTGTAAAACAACAAGTGATAGAAAATCCAGCGCGATTGGCGAAAGCGGATCTGTGCACGCTTTTAGAATTTTTTTTTTTATGCTTCAATTGCACTTCGATGTTGTTTTCGATATCGAAAAACTTCAAAACATATTCCAAATCTTGATTTAAAAAAAATCAAAGTTTTCTCTCGACACAAATATTTAAAAAAACACAAATGTTTGTAGCATTTATACAGACTTGTAAAACAACAAATAAGTTATTCTTATATCTGTTTTATAAAACAGATGCTTTGAATCTTTATGAAGATTTCTAGATAAAAATGGACTTTCTATCATTTAACGTTTCATAGTTATAAATTTTTAGAAGCAATTATAAAAACTTTTAAACAATTAGGCAACAAAAACTGTCAGAAAATCGATATTTAAAAGCGCCTAATACATTTTGCAAATAGATTTCCCTTAGAGTTCGTTGAACCACAATCTCTCAGGATAAGTAAAAGCCCGAGGAGTCTCTTTAATGAGTTAAGTTTAAGGAGTTATCTTTTTTCCAAAAAGTGATCGTTCGCGCATCAAAGTGATCAAGCATGATCAAAGGCATCAAGCATGATCTTTCTCGGGAAGTTTTCAAGCACGTGTCACTACGAAGAGCTCGGATACTAACTTGCTAGTTTGATTGTGGCTGTCCGAGAAACAATCGCTCCGACATTGTCTATGGAGGCTAAGCACTGATAACTCCCGGTTAATTCTGCACTACCAGCGTACACGCTATTTATGTACAAGGACCCGTTCGCTAGCTTTGATCTACAAAAACAGAATTGGGAATCGTTCCGTCAGAATCTGGACGGTGAGGGCAGGTGGACGTAGCAATAAGAGGGAGGAGGAATCTCTCCTAAGAGATGCGTCACGCGTATTACCGGTAACTGTCCCCGATAAACGTGATCGGCTGACCGTCGTCCGTACGCCAGTGTATATTCGGCGTCCCAAAGACGCTCTTCGCCTCGCAGTCCAGCCTCGCGGGACCTCCTTGTTCCACCACCACATCCCGCGGCTCGATGATGAAGTCCAAGCCTCCCGCGTTGACTGCAAACAGAAAGGGGAGAGATAATTAATGACGGAGGAAACGGACAATCGTCTCCGTATAACGAGATCCTGCAACGAGAAAATCTCTATCGTCCCCGCGAGCCGAAATTCAATTTGTCAGATAGAGCGATTCGCGCTTCCGGATAAGAGTCGCGACGATATCCCCGGGGGGTTGTCTCCCCCTTCCCCCCACTTTCGAGCGTGTTTACGAAGGGGATGTTTAACGATCACACCCGGTACCCCCATGTTAGAAGCAGCAGTTATTGCGCTATCGAATTTCGGACCCCACCATTGTGCGTCTCGTGACCCATTCGTGCACAACGCGCGCTAGTTAGGGGGTGTAGATGTTAAAAGGGGGCGGAGGAGGAAGAGCCGGGCGTATCGGATGGTTCGTCTAGAAGGGAGAACCGGCTGCGAGAGAGAAGGAAAGGGGGGCGGGGGACCATCCGAACAAAGGGTCGTCCACCCTATATAGGGACGGACGCTTCTGCCTGCCTTGCCAGCTTAGCGAGACGCTGCCGAATGCCTGAATTCTCTCTCTCTCTCTTTGTTTCTGTCCTTCCCTCGTGTGTGACCCCTAGTGCGATCGCGTTATCGCGATACGAGACGATTTAACATCGTGAATCGACCGCGAAGAGGGAAATGGAGACGAGAAAAGCGAGAAAAAGACTGCTCGCCGTTCGCCGACGTATTTTTATAAGCGACGTAGCGAGAAATCGCCTCTGAGAATGATTCTTTTTCTTCCGAGAGGCTGACTCGATATTTTTCGACAGTACAATACTGCGAGATGTTCCGAGAAAAAGGCTGAATAATGATTCTGCTGGAATATGGTCTTTTATTTCCCAGGCAATACTACACTGTTAAATTCGTAGTGTCAAATTATACTCAATTTAAGTAATTTTTAACCATTCCTATAAATCGTCATCGCTCCTACCTAAAATGTCATTAATTTAACTTTAACTAAAACAATGTTAATTCAATTAAACCAATAGAGTTAGAATAATACTGTTTTGATAAAATAATAAATGTCAACACACATGGTAGTTAAAAATAACAAAATGATATTTAGCTCAAGACATTAATTTAAATTTCACCCTTTAATAATATTTAACAGTGCAATGTACACGATGGTTACAAAAAATATGTCATATTATTTTATTATTATATACCAATTCCATATATTCATGAAAAAATATGTAGACTTCTAAGATGTGACTTTGATAAATCTAGAAGAGATACCACTGCCGTATTTCTAAGTTATGATTACGCTATTTAAAAATATACGTGTAAATTTTTCGCCAGTTTAGAATCAAGTTATTCTTAGCGAAATAACGAAAATAATTAATAATTTTCGATTAATTTTAAATAGAGTTTGATTTAATAAAATTCTGATTTAAGATATAATTACACAAACATATATAAAAATAAATTGAATATAAATATAAATTTATTGTAACCTATATTTTTGTAATTATTTTTATTACTCTCTTGGCGTTTCCGTCGACTTAAGGAGAAAAAAAAACAACTTTTAATTGATCAAAGAAACCATTAAAAAATAATGAGAGAAAAATGAAACACTTCTGTATGCGGAACAACTTTAAAAGTAACATCTCTTCGATTTATTCTTTCGCTGGCTGATTTTTGTACAGCAGAAGTTTTGTGCAAGTACAAAAGTTTCATTGTAAATTTCAACGATTGAAAACACTTCAGAGGAACCCTCCTGAAATCTCCTTCGGAAATTTATAGAAAAAGAGCGTTTATGCGCCTGCGATCTGCCTTTTATTGCGACGTAGGGACGTGCCGAGGTGGAAACGCGAAGGTTTTATTTATTCTGCCGCGCTTGGAAATCGCCTCGAACGGCGCGTGACTAAATTGGAATTCTGCCGACGGACCGTCTATACCGCCGCGGACTTTCCTGAAAACGCGCGTAAAACGCAAAGAAAACGCACCCGGCGCGAGATATTATTCCAACATTCTGCCTCAATCGCGGTAGACGCTGAAAGGCCACCTCGGGGGACCTTTGGTCCTCTCGATCCTCGCGGGCAAAAACGCCCGGGGTATTCAGGTCCCGCGGTTTCCTCCAGGAGGTACGGCCTCTAATCGCCGCTTCTTGTTTTTTTCCTTCCTCTCCTCCTTTACATCCCGGCGCGACGCCGCGCATCTAGGATTTTAAACGCTCGAGGCGCGTATGTCATGTCATCTCTCTCGGGTATTTGGAATGTAACGCGTAAATAAAATACTGCCGTCCGCGCGCGGAACGTTCCGCGCTCCGAGAATGTCTCGGAGTAGAAGCGAAACCGCACGCTCGCAAAAGAGCCGACGCCGACGTCGCCGGAAAACGGAATGCATACGCATCATCATTTTTATCCGGTAATGCACCAGACTCAAGGTCGAGGTTCAAGCGGCGTTTGAAGCAGCGTTAGATTTCTCTTTTTTTTTTAATTTCTCGCACAGCCTCGGAATATCGTGAGAAATTCCGTGTTGCCCGTTCGCGTTGCTCGTGATATTTCTAGAGGCTACACCCTCGATTCCGCGAACATTTCGATGAAACAGACGCGTTCGAATTAAAACGACCGCGTGCCGTTCGTTATCGGGTAAACGATACCTGCGGCCGATTAATCGAGTATCGCACCGACGGCCATATCGGAACCGTTATTCTCATCTAACGTATACATACGTCGGGACAAATGTTTTTGTAGGAGACAGACACACGTTGCGGCGAGGAAAAAAACCGCGGGGACCTTGGCGAACGCGTTTAAACGAAGGAGTAACAGGTCGAATTACCGATTATAACGGTACGGTAATTGCGAGGCGGGGTAATCGATAATAATCTCCGATTAGTGTAACGCCCGATTAAGCGGGGCACGTTCTCCAGAGAATGGAGAACGGGGTACGCGAGGAACAAAATCGGACGGATTCGCTCCGATTTTCCGCGCGCGTGGGAAGCGAGAGAACGATTTTTATTCGCGGCCTAAAAACGACAAGTGGAACATTTTTTTCCCCCCGCGCTGTATAAAATAGCCGAGCTTCACGGAATACTGATCGCGCTCGATCGGCCGATTGAGCGCCACCGATAACGGATTATTGGATTATGGGCTCCAATCGGTGAACATTTTCCCATAACCGCAGCATCGCGGTGATGGAAGCCCCCCTCCTCCCCCCGCCCCCACGAGATCCCGCCGCTCCGCGCTCTCGCCGTATCAATCGACCGATTGAGCACCACTGGCAGCGGTTATTGGGTTACAGTTTCACGCTCACGGTGGTCTGTCACCTTCGAGCGTGCGAGAGTGAGCGCGAGAGGAGGTTCCGATGGAAGCCGCCCGATGATCCCCGTGGATGACCCGATCCGCGCCGTCAAACGCATTTTCCAGCGACGGAAAAATTAAATCCTTCGATCACCGCGCCGCGTTTTATCAATGTGCAAACCGAATAATGTATATCGCTCGAATTTTGTTATTATAATGAAGCTGGTCGTAAGTCAATCAGCGAGCACGAAGATTAAATATGGGGGAAAGATATGAAATATAGAGAAAAAAAATAGTAGGGTCGAAGAACTGAAAAATTATGGGCGTGCATAGAGCACAAGTGGAAAATACGTATAACTTTATTTCATTCGTGTGGCAGCAGCGCGTAAGATATATTCCGGGAGATAAATATCCATCACAAGCTGGACAGCGAAACGCATTAGGAGGCAAAATTAGAAGTTAGTATTGTCAATACTCGTCAATCTTCATCATGTATTATTAGTTGACGAATAGGGTCAACGGAGGTAATTGTGACAGCGGGACGTGTGTGACAGTGCAATAACTTCCGATAAGATTAACGGAAAGTAATAGCATGTGTTTTCCTAAAAATACACTCTGAGCTTCATGAGGCCTAGTACACTTTCGGAATTTTTATTTAATTAATTAAATTTATAGTTAATTAGATTTCTAGATAATTAAACAAACAATTTAAGCATTTCCCGCAATTAAGTGTAAAAAAATGGAAATTTGAATATATAAGAACCTTCATGTCTTGTACAAAAATTGTTCGTAATATTTTTTTATTTCAAATTTTTCTCGAAGACCTGACATTTTTTGAGAGCTTGAGACAATTTCTTGACAGTTTCACAACTTGCTGAAAACACTTTATTGACCATATCAGGGACTCTAAAACTATTTAAGAAAAAGCCGGAAGTCCATTAACTATATAGAAATTCTAAAAGTTTTTCTATAAAGATTGCACTCTATTTATTTGCTCGCTCTTGTATCTTCTGAATTGTATTGATTTATATTGTTCTATTGGTTGCAATGCTATATTTTATAATTTATTTTTTGATTCAATATCTTTCTTAATTCATGTATTATTAGTCCCTAAAATCTTATTTATACTTTTCTTTTTTTTTTTTACTTTCAATTTATTATTAAACTTGTTAAACTATGATATTATATATGTGACATTAAACTTAACATAACATTCTAAGAAAGCTTTAGAATATATTAATAAGTAATGTATTAAAATATATTCTGTACGGTCTTTTCCATTCAATTTCATTACGCGTTTTACTCTCTCATGACAGTCACGACCTCCGTATATTCCACAAGTTCAGGGACTGCCTCTGTCATTCTTACGATCTGCGCTTCGCTGGTCAAGATGCCGACAGCTTTTCCCGAGAAAAAGACGAGGGGAAAAAGGGGGAAAAGGAAAAGAAAGAGAGAAGGAAAGGAGGAAGGAAGGAAGGAAGGAAGGCATGATTCGGCGCTGCGATGCCGGCAATGCGCGCTCGAAAGGAAAATAAACTATTCGGCGTGCTATACCGTTTGATTTACGAGTACAAGCGACAACCTACCGCACGGGATACTGAAATAGACCGAGTGAACTATTACGGTGTGTGTATTGTATATACGGGGTAAATGGCGCGCGCGCGCGCGCGCGCGATCACCGCACCTTGCGACCGATGCACCGGGTGTTCGGTACAAATACGTCCGTCTGTATATGCATGTGTGTGTTTGCGCACGCCACGCGACTGTAAGCTATGAATTTATGACTCGAAGTGATGGCCATGTCAAGATGCAATCGTAAAAACTAAATTAAAACGATTAACAGCTACGAAGATATGTTATCTACAAAAAATTGTCTTTTTTTTTATCTCTATGTTACACTTGCAACTTTTATTTTTTGAATTTGTGGCGCTGCGAAGAGTACTATAATGTTAAAGGATGAAATTTAAACCTTGAATGTTAACATTTTGTTATTTTTAACTA